TAATAATCATCATAATAACGATGACAGTAACATTCATAATAGTGATGATTTGATGACCATGATTTTTTGTGCATTGATGATTTCACGTTGTTCAGTTCGCTCTTTAAAGTATAATCTCATGATAACTAACTTACATTCATCAGTAATACAGTGTAACCGTGAAACCTGCTCAAACATACCTACTAGAAGGATAAGTTTTTTAGAAGGATAAGATCCGTATTGATAGAGAGGATTAGAGTGCATATTGATAAGCTTGTGACAGGTATCGATAATTACTGATTTTATGATCTCAGTCTGATCGCTTGATCGATCAGTTTGGTCCCTAAATCAGTTGTTAATCGCTAAATTACGATTTGATCAGAAAGTTGCCAAATCAGAATTGACAAATATCTTCAAGATATTACTCTTTGTTGGAATCCAACTCGATGAGTAATTATCTCATAATTAAAGTGTTGATCTTAGAGATTATAGTGGAATTATATCAACTTACACATTATCAGCATGGGGTCTTGAGCGTATTATGTGCCCAAGATTACACGTCTGACACACAATGAAGATATTCGAGCATTCGATCAAACTAATCTCGACATATTACGACCCAATATAAACTCACATATTCATTTCAGAACTATATGCCAATATTTGTCAAATTCTTTCTGACACGATAGAAGTGTTATTCGATATATGATAACCGGATAAATGGTTCTAGAAAACCTCATCTCATTTATGCTTTCTCCTTATCCATTCTCTCGTCCTTAACACCCCGTAACCCCGTGGGGTCTTCTGATTGTATTTCACAACATTTGACTGAACTAATTTCTTTATGCCCACTTATGATGACTTACAGTCATAGAAACATTCGTAATGTATAAAAATGAAGTATATAATAACAAGTATTTAGTGATGTGACTCGTGATGGTGATTGTTGTTCTATTAAGAGTTTTTTTTTTGGATGGCAAAAAACTTGATTTGTTCTTCTTTTATGTAATTTGTAGGCCAAATGAAGGAATTTCTTTGGGAGTTTAATCAAAATTTAGTGCGCTTTCTAGAGAGTCCAACAAAAGATAAGATACTGGATTTTACTTGTACTGTTGTCATCAAACTCGTTGCGTTTCATCAATTTTGATAAATGTGTTGAAAATCATCACAATGTACGACGTATTCTGTGCATAGAATTTCTCTCAAAATTTATCCTCCTCATTCACATATCCATCCATCCTTTAAATCCTCCTAATTTATCAACTGAATGCAATTATCTGCTTGAAACAAGGAGAACAACGGTCGGTGATTCGATTGGAATGGAATCCACTTGAAGTCGTCATCGTTTAATTGGTATCAATATGATTGTGTTTCATACATTGAAAGTGGTAATTAAGAAAGTGGGTAGTTGTTGAAATTTATGCACGTTTGAGCATGGAATGTCTGTTGACTGGTGATGGTGCCTTCGAGTCTGACATAGTTCTGTACTTTAACAATTGGAGACATGAGAGGAACTCTAACTGCGTGCGCATTTGCTTTTGCTTGAAATGCATTCCGTTTGTAAAAACAAGAAATTGATGTGAGGACTTGATTTGATTGATGGGCTCCAGGCAACAAGGTGTCTACGCTATCAGCGGCGGCAATACACGACACATTCGGATTATGATCATTATGTGTACTTGAAAAGATGAAAATTATCGAACACATTCCAAAGGCTGTTTTCAATTTCACGTTACTTCAATGTGAAATTTTTTGGAATTTTTGGAATTGATGAAGTTTTTTGGGGGATTTTTCTGGGATCTTAAATTGACTGTTCTACGAAAGTCATCATAATTGTATTTTTGCAAAAAATGCTGACTTGCAATTGTATCAAAATAGTTGGAGAACTGCATTGGCATCGTGATGATATGATGATATTTGCTGGGAAAAATTTGAATTTCAAGGTGTTCAAGGCTTTCGGCTGTTCATTCATTAATTTGGCGCACTAAAAAATAACCATGAAACGTAGAGATCAGTAGAGATTAACGGTTGTGCTGAATTCATTTCGCATGTTTTTGATGAATTCTTTACGATTTCTACGAAATTTTATTGAGTGCCACTAATTTTACTTGGTATGCGCGCGCCAACTTATGAGAATGAATCATTGTTGAAATGGAAGAAAGATTCATTCTAGTTTACGGTGGTGTCTCCTCAGTTCTCGTCTTTAAATGAACCAGAAAAAAAAGCAAAAAAAGTGTCTTCTAATCATATTTGTCTCTATAATTTTCCTGTCTTTTTCGCTCACTTTTTTTTCTGCAGCACATTTTTTTTCCACATTCATCGCTCCCATTGCTTAAGATAATAATCTCATTTATTTCATGACTATAAATGAGTTTAACTCATGACGACTATAAAACATTTTAACTTGTTGTCCTATTGTGTGTGAGGATAATAGATGTTTTTGTTTCACTTTAGTCACTGTCCATTGAGGTGCAACCAAAAAAAATAGTAGTTTTTTTCGGTTCAGTGCGCGAACTGGACCGAACCGATTCTGAGGGAATGATGAGGGGCACCATGAAAGATTGTTNGTGTGAGGATAATAGATGTTTTTGTTTCACTTTAGTCATTGTCCATTGAGGTGCAACCAAAAAAATAGTAGTTCTTTTTTTCGGTTCAGTGCGCGAACTGGACTGAAACGATTCTGAGGGAATGATGAGGGGCACCATGAAAGATTGTTTTTTTTTGGGGGGGGGGAGAAGGAGAGGGATAGGGGATGGATGGATATCGTTTGAAAATGTTCTGAGTTCGTGTTCTGAGCCAAACATAAATTCATATGTTCGAAAGGGGTTATCCAGCCTGTCATCGAGTATTTGAAAATGAAAAGTCAAATTCAGAATGAATTGCCTAGATTATAAATACAGACAAATGCACAATTCATGGGCATTTGAGCATTCAATGTGGATAAATGAAACAACGCAGTGTGGATAAATAAGAGAAAATGATAGTTTGATGATTGATATGATGGTGATTTGTTGTGTTTTAGAGGAGAAGTTCGCGCTGTTGGTTCCATCGATGCAAGCCGCAATATGCTTGCTCTACTCGGCTGTCCGTACCGGCTCAGACGATATAATCATGAGCGCTGAACATGCGGTTTTCCATTTGTTACGTTGCGATCCGGTGGGTTTTTTAAGTCTTTTGGTTTCATTTTTTATTTGTTAGTGGTAAATTCGGAACTTTTGGTAAATTGAACGAAAATTTTTCAGTTTCCTAGTATTTAGTTGTTTCGCATCAATTCAGCAGTAGATATTTGAAGTGATTGTTTTGATTGGCCGAAGGAGCCATTATGGTTTGGTAAGCGTGATGATGTTTAGTCGAGGAATTGGTGAGGTAAACGATCGAGTAGAGAAATATTTCAACGGAGTAGGACTGGGTTCTAAAGAATGTGTTTGTTTTGCAGAAATTGCTCTATGGTTGGTTGCAATCCGTAGAACGCATTGTGGATGGTATCAGCTGTGGCCACAATGGTGGCAGTATTCTTATGGACGCAGGAGATATTTCACCGTTGTTTTTGGAGGCGCCCCCTTCGTCGGGGGACTACATGAGTCCAGCCACTAGTCCGTATCCGTCTACCGCAAAATGTCTACAAAACTGCATAACGATGACATCGAATTACACCACTCCAGACCATCAAAGTCATAATGATTCCGGTTTCAACAGTGGTTTCTCGAGTCCGGCAGCGTTTTTTGAGATGAAGGTTCGTTCGTTCGTGTCATTATTTCGATTTCAACCAAACAGCGTTTTCCTTTCAGCTCTCTGCAGTTATTCTTATCGTGTTCAGATTTTGTGTTCAATATGATTTTTTCATTGATTTCGGC